GGCGGGGGCTGGCGGCGGCATCTCGCCTCCCGACAGCTACGCTGGGCGGGTGGCGCGCCCCGGTCGGCCGCAGGCGGCGGGTGTGAGAGTGGGCACCGGCGTTCGTGCCGGTGTCATCGAGCAGGGCGGCGCACGCGGGCACTGGGAGGTCGGGCGAGCGGCCGACAGCTCGTCCACTCGGGCGGCCACTGTGGCGGTGGATCTGTCCGCCTTCGACACCGTGCCCCTCCTTGAAGTGGCTAAGGCGGTGCAGCTGCTTGTGCCGAAGGGGGCCGCTATAGGCGCGTGTCCGGTCCCGGGAGCGTGTGTGGAACTGACGTTCTCCAAGCCCGAGTACGTCGAGCTCCTCGAGGGAGGGCTCGTGGTGCAGGGAAAGAAGTGCCCCGTGCGTCGCCTTTGCCAGGCCGAGCGCCTGGTGTCCTTCTTGCACCTGCCGCTCTATGTGCCTGATCGTGCGGTGGTGGAGCGGCTCACGGCGTGGGGCGTCGAGCCCATCCTCCCGGTCCGCCGCCGGCTCCTGCCCGGCACGGCCATCACCGACGGCACGCGTAGCGTCCGGGTGAGGTTCCCGGAGGGCGTCGTGTCCCTCCCCTACAGCGCGAGATTTGACACGGCTGAGGGCCAGAGGCACATCCGTGTAGTGCATGACAATCAAGTCAAACTCTGCCGCATGTGCGGGCAGCCGGGCCATGTCCTGGCTCAGTGCCCGAAGTACACCTGTCGCGTCTGTGGGGTGCAGGGGCACTACGCCAGAGACTGCACCGCAGCCAGCTGCGCCGACTGCAGGAAGGCAGTCGCCCTCTGCACCTGTCCTGCTGTACCTGGTCAGATGGGGGATGCAGGTAAGGCGGGCCCGGGCTCTCACGTTGTGAGTGGGGCAGAGCAGTGTCACCAGCAGGACCGGAATGCCGCCGACTGCCTGGACCAGCACAACGCCGGGGCCAGCATGGAGGAGGCGGGCGGCGAGCACGGGGAGGACACTGGACCGCGACAGGAGGTGAGTGGGGAGGCGCCCGCAGGGGTGGACGCTGGACATTGTGGGGGGGCCGGAGCGCCCCCGGCCCGGCCGGATCGACCAGGACTTGTTGCCGGACCCGTTGGACAACCCTCCGGAGCTGCGGAGCCCCGGGAGCTGCCAGACAGCGCTGCGTCTGTCTCCCGGGGAGCGCCTGACCTGCAGGTGCCAGCTAAGGACTCCAGACCCGCAGCTCCGGCCGCGGGAGCGGAGTGCCCGGCACCCCCTGGGGCCGGGGGTAAGACTGATGCTGCCCCCCCACCACCTCCCTCCCCTTCCCCCCGTGTGTCTGTGCCGCTCGCCTCTCTTTGGTCGCAGCTCCCCCTGGACAGTGAGACACTGTTCCGCCTTGACGCCCTGGACCGGGGCTCCTCCAGCACGCCGTCTTCGCTGGACGTCGTTCCCCCTACTGCCGGTCGGCTCAGCAGGAGCCGGATGAAGACCAAGGCCCGCGCCACGCCCCGGTCCGGGACTCTCCGGGCTCCGTCTGCGGATGGGCCCTACCGGAGACTCGATGACCGGCGGCAGTCGGCGGCAGCTGCCCTCCACGCACTGCGTGCTGCGAGCCCGGGCTCTGACGACAGTGACGACTTTGTAACATGAATGTTCTGACTGTCTCTTTGGTTTCGTGTAGCGCCTCAGTTCTATGCAGACCCCATGCATAGTTTTCTTTCCCTTTTGTTTCTTTTGTTTTCTGTGCAGGTCCTTGTGTCGTCACTGTCGCCCTGTTCAACTGCCTTGCCTGCATGTGTCGTCTTGTGTCCGTTTTTTGGTTTGGTTGTACCCATGACCTGGGTACATTTTTTGACTTTCATTGTCTTGTGCTTTTACCCAGACATCGCCCGGTCATTGCGTGGGAGGGCTGGGATTGTGTATGGGGTTGTCTCGCTTTTAGTCATCAGTACTTTTATCTGTGTGCCCCGGGACTGTGTGTTGGCCGACTGCATGCTGGTGTCATGGCAGTGACCATCACCTCCCTCAACGCCAGGGGCCTGCGCTCCTGGCCTAAGTTGCAGGCGGTCCTGACCCAGTGTGCTCCGTCGGCCGTGGTGTGTTTACAGGAAACTGGGTGGGATGGGGCTTTTATTGAACGGGTGCGAGATGTATGGTCGGGCGATGTCTTCCACTCCACTACCTCTGATGGGGAGAGGACCCTCGGTAGGGGTGTCGCGCTGCTCTGTCACGGACCCCGCGTTGAGTCGGCCACACAGCTGTACTCTAGTGGGGATGGGAAGTGTCTGGCGGTCAAAGTGCTCTTAGGGGGTGTTTTCACCGCCACCATCATAGTCGTGCACGCACCGAACGATGAGGTCCTTTGTGCCCAGTTCTTCGACTCTCTGGCAGTGCGTGTAGCACAGTGGCCCTGTCCTTTCGTCGTCGGGGATTTTAACATCACCCTGACTCACCTGGACGTGCGGGAGGGGGTAGTGTTGAAGCCTAATATGGGGAGAGCCGCGCTCCTCCGTATGATGCGATCTTGTCACCTCACAGATCAGTGGAGGGATCGCAACCCTGGCGTGCGCCTCTTTTCCAGGACGCAGCGCGTCGGGGGGGTGGTGCGGGGAAGCAGGCTGGACTACGCTTTAGTGTCCCCTGCTGTCGCCGCCTGTGTCCGTGCGATGTCTTATCGGGAGTGCCGGCTGAGCGATCATGACTATTTCGAGTGCACTCTCGATTCTGGGGAGGTGCAGCGTGGGCCGGGGACCTGGATTCTCAATCCCTCCCTGTTAAGCGACGCTAGTGTTAGTGATACAGTTAGATTCGCACTGTGGAGGGGGGTTCGGTCGCCCCTCTTCCTTCTCGACATTCAGGCTGGGTGGGAGCTCATTAAGCGGGAGGTGGCGACCATTTTTCAGGCTGCCGGGCGCGCTGCAGCTGGACGCCTGCGCCAGCAGGGACACGCAGTCTTGCGTGAGCTCCAGACGGAGCTGCTGGCACTCGAGCAGGACGCAGGGGACCCGGTACGGGTCTCGGCTCTGCAGGACGAGCTAGCTCTCCTCTCTGAGAAGAGGCACGCAGGGGCGGTCTTGCGGAGTGGGGTGCGCTTCGTCGCTCCTGGCGAGCTCTCCCCTCGCTACTTCCAGGCGGTGGAGCAGTCCATGGGGGCTGCGAGGCTGCTCCGGTCGGTGCGCTGCCCCAGTGGCCAGCTGGTGACTGACATGCCCGGTCTGTTGAGCACGGTGCGTGACTACTGGGCTGCCATGTTTACCAGCGAGCGCATCGACCTGGATGCCCTCTCCCCCCACCTGGGGCTGATTGAGGCACACCTCTCTCCTGAGGACGTCGCCCTC